ATCTGAAAATTAACTAAACAAAAAGAGATGGAGACATGTCTTGATTTGTAGAGTACTTACCTCAAACCTCAATACTACATAAAAAAGGCAAAAAAAAAAAAAAAAAGAATTAACAAATGGAATTGCATCAAATTAAAAAGGTTCTGCACATCAAAGGAAACAATTACCAGAATGACTAGAACCCACAGAATGGGAAAAAGTCTTTGCTAGCTATTATGCATACAAAGGATTACTATCCAGTATATATGAAAAACTCAAAAATTTAAACACCGAAAGAATAAATAATCCAATTAATAAATAGGCAAATGAACAGACTTATCAAAATAAGAAATAAGAAATGCAAATAAATGCATAAAGAAATATTCAGCATCCTTAGCCATAAAAGAAATGCAAAACAATAGTGATTGCATTTCATCCTACTTAGAATGGCCACCATCAAGAAAATAATGAGTAAGCTAATCAGAACTGTCACTATGAATTCCCCCTTCCCCTGTATAATGAATATATCTGAATAAAAATTTTTATAATTGAAAAAAGAAAACAAACAACAAATGCTGGGGATGTGGGAACAAAGGGATCTCCTTATTCACTATTGGTGGGAATGCAAATTAGTGCAGCTACAGTATGAAGGTTCCTGAAGAAACTAAAAGTAGAACTGGCATATGATCCTGCTATTCAATTCCTAGGCATATCCAAAGGAGTGTAAGTCAGCATACAAAAGAGCGATGTATGCGCACCCATGTTTATACCAGCACTATTCACACTAGCTAAAATATGGAAGCAGCCCAGGTATCCATCAAATGATAAACGGATAAATAAAATGTGGTCTGTATATACACTATAGAGTATTTTATTTAGCCATCGAGAATCAAATTGTGAACATTACAATTACTGCTGGAGATCTTTTTAAGTGCGAGAAGAAAAGCACAAAATACAAATAACACATTTTCACTAATGTGGAATCTAGTCCTAAAATAACATCGATGATGATGATGTTGTTTAAGGGGAATTGTTTGGTGGGGGAACCAGCAAAAGAGGGGAAAGGAAGAAAAGAGAGTATTGTAGAGTGAATAGGTTTGAAAAGCATTATATTTATGTATGAAAATAGCATAATGAACCCTCCTACATACTGTTTTAAAAAAGGAAGAGGAGGTAAGGGTGGTAGCAAAGTATAATGGAAGGGCCGAAGGCATGGCTCAAGTAGAAGAGCACCTGCATGAGGCTCTGATTTCAAACTGCAATACTACCAAAACCAAAATGTAATTGAGGGTATGAATGTGATCAAAGTACATTACACACATATGGAAATACCACAATGGAATCCATTTGTATAATTAATTTACTCTAATTTAAAAAAGAAAAGTAAAGCAAAGCCAATTTTGATGGCTCACACCCTGCAATCCCAGCATTCTGGAGGTAAAAGCAGGAAGATCTCAAGTTTGAGGGCAGCCTGGGCTACATAGACCCTGTATCAAATAAATATATTCTCTCAAAAGAGGAAAAAAAACAAGTTTAGTGAATCTTACATAAATGGAGTTCAATTTAAATGTCCATTTTTGTATGGAAATCATTCATTCGTGCATGTATTCATTCATTCAGTGCCTACTATGTGCCAGGCACTGTTCCAGATATAGATAATCTTCAGAAGGAAAAGGTATCTCTGACCTTAGGGGAACTTGCAGTCTACTGAAGGTCAGAAACAAACACAAGTAAATTGCAGGAAGAGAAAATTACATATTGTGGCATAACCAGGGAATAGGAAGATGTACCTTTTTCTTCTTTTGACAGGAAATTCTGTGTAGGGATAAAGACAGGGGATGTAGGTATTGGAAGAGAAAATCATGGTCAGATTTCCCCTGTATAAATTTCTCTTTGGCTGCAGGGCAAAAGAGAGAGAAGTCAAAAAAAGCATTGGATGGTTCTCATTCCCTAATCAAAAGATAATGCAAATAATTTTATTTAAATAATTCTATCAATTTTAAACACTTTAATATTGGTCTAGTAGAATTTCCTAAATAGAAGACATAATTAGTGACTAGATGATATCATTTAAAAATGAAAAGTAATTTTATTACAGCCAGGAAGTTAGAAACCTGTAAAGGAAATCCTAAATATTTTGTATTCATCATTAATGGCTTGTTTGCATTTATTGCAATACAGTGATTTTTTTCACTTACAAGAGGAACATGCCATTTATAGTCTGCACCTTTGAAAGCAAATTCATAGGCTAAGGGTGTAACTCAGTGGTAGAGCACTTGCCTAAAATGCACAAACCTTGGGTTCGATCACCAACACTGCAGAAATCTTTTTAATTTAAAAAAGTAAAGAAAAGAACGATCATTTTGATACAGTTTATATAGTTTTATTACATAGTTTATATCATTTTATTTTTATATGATACCCTTTATACACATACACACATATATGTATATGTAAATTTACTTAGAAAAACAGTGTTGTTTCTGAAGGAAGAATTACCCAAGATAACTGAACTTCATGTTACTGCAATGAAATATTGGATACAATTAACTTAAAAAAAAAAAAAGGCTTAACTCGTAGTTCTGGAGATTCCAGTCTACAATTGTGTGACCCTGTTGTTTTGTGTTTCTGGCAGGGTCAGCATATCATGTCAGGAATATGTGGTGGAGCAGATTGCTTATATCCAAAGTCAGGAGATAGGGACTGTAAGACTAGGGTCCCACAATTCCTGCTTCAAGGGCACTTCCCTAGTGACCTGAAGATTTCCCACTAGGCCTCATACAAAGGTTCATAGGACCTCCCAGTAGTGCCACTGAAGTGACAAGAGGAATTTGGGGAACACTAATCCAACACACACACACACACACACACATTGTGGGTTCTGCATCTTTGTAATCAACCGTATACTGAACATATTTGGAGGAAAAAATCATCTACATGAAACATAAAGCCTTTTTCCTTACTATTTTCTGAACAACACAGTATAACAACTATTTACATTGAATTGGATATTATGAGTAACCTTTACATGATTTAAAATATGCAGAAGGATGTACATAGATTACATGCAAATACTACATCATTCTATATAAGAAATTTTGAGCATCTACAGATGTTAGTGTCCAAGAGGTACCTGAAAGCAACCCTTTGGTGCATACATGGATATTAAGGAGCAGCTGTAATACAAAAATGAATTTGACGTAAGTTTCTTAATGATAAAAACATACATTTCTGTGCTGTCATAAAAAAATTTTTTTTAACTACTCTGACTTTAAAATTGATTCTGTGAAACTATCCACAAAGGAGCAACATCAAAGGGGAACAGCAGTCGACTGCCCTGGGAGGATGTGGTTATGATTTTCTTGTGATTAAAAACTGTACATAGTTAAGGTGTGCAGCATGCTATCATGATCCGTGCACACACTGTGACATGATTACCACAATCAAGATCATAACACATGCACCAGCTCCCGCACTTCCCTGTGTGTGTGTGGAGTCTACTCTCGGCACACTGCAGGAGCACATCTCAGGAGCATGGTGCAGCACTGCTGACCACAGTCGCCAGGCTGCCTGCTCGAGCTCTAGCACACACTCAGCCTACAACAGAAAGTACAGGTGCACCTCCCAGCATGGCTTCAGATTCCCCATGGACGCAAGCTGTGCACTTTCATCTTTCTAGGTCTCTCTTATTTCGCTGAGCATGGTGGCCCCGGTTCACCTGCAGTCACAAATGCAAAAAAAAAAAATAAATAAATAAAATAAAATTGATTCTGTGGAAGCTAGTAGCACTGATTAATACAAAATACCATTTACTTTAGTTTGGTAATTGGAAACAAAATCGTTTTATATTATAGTAGCATAGAAGCCTCTAGTTCCAGAGGTATTTCATGGAACCTGAGACCTAAAATGAAAGTAGCATCAATAAGCTTAGTAGATTTTGCCATAAAGAATTCTTAATTGCTATTGATAACTCAATAAAATTAGGAATAGTAGTGAAAACCCTTACAATGTTTTATAAATCTTTAATAGATTTTCATTTAATGAAAGTTGCCATCTGTACTGTCTATATTTCTAGTTAGAAGTGGTATGCAAAATGGTTTTATTAGTCATAATTTAACTTGATTATGTATGCTAACCTTTTTAAGATAGGAAGTTTAAATCTGTGAACAGTATTTTAAAAATAGTGCCAGTGCCTATTATGATGGAGACATATAAGCCATGACAATAACTTAAACATTTTAAAATTTATTGTTCTCTATAGCAAATTGGATACTACTTTTTAAAGGCTTGGCGGGTAGCATGCCTAACTAGAAAGTGTAAGGCCATTTCAAATCCCAGTACCTCCAAAAATAATCATAGATACTACTTTTCAGAATTTTGTTAAAAAATTATTGAATAAAAATATATATACATTTTTATAAAATACCATTTTAGTGATATAAAGTAATTTGTCATTTAAATATGCTATCAATTCTGCTTAAGTATAAACTTAGTGGTCACACACCTAAAGAAAAAATCCAGTTTATTTTGTACCACTTGCTTTTTTTCCTAACCCTAAAAAGAAGTACATATGTGAAAATTGAGTGTGTCCTTATATATCTTGTATAGAATTTAAGTATATAGGATATTTTAGGAAGAATAAAACTGATGGAAGGAAGCGTTGAGTAATAGTTAAATATTTCAGCTCTGATATCAGATTGCCTCTGGCAAACTGGGTTACCCTGAGCAAGCTACTATACCTATTGTAACTTTCAGTTGCTTCATTTAGAAAGTGGGACAACTATATTATGTAGTTATGAAAATTAACTGAGATCATGAATATAAACTGTTTCCCGCATTATTTAGCTGAGAAGTTGTTAGTAAATGTTATTACTAAGAATTTTCTGATAACTTCAGTAAATACTCACTTTAAATTAGTTATTGGATATAGTCACATTACTGATTATATGAGATATACTTTCATCTCTACTTTTACCTCATAGGTAGGTTTCTCTCTAACTGATTTTTTTCCTTTGTTTTAGGTCACTTTTCACATAGAACCGTATAAAAATCGAGATGATCAAAACATGTACAACAATGTCAAATATATTATAGACAGGTGAGTTTCTTCGTGTTTATACTGTTGTATAAGTAGAGTACTTTTAAATTATATTTGAGAGATCTGAATGGTTTACTATCTGACATTTTTAATGAAATTAAACTTCACTGTAACAAATGTCGTATTTTGAGGAACATTTCTGAATTCCTTACAATTCAGTTTCTGCATGAGTAAAGATATTGTGTTGCTGTTTTACATGTTTATAAGATTTAATGATTTTTACCATATTAATATTTTCAATTGATAGTCTAAAAATCTTAATGAACACAGTGTTTTGTCTGTTTAAAAAGAAGGTTCATATTATGAAGTGTGAGCTATTTTTATAGCAATGGACCATTATCTATTTTCAATTATATCTAGTGTGATTAAAATGAAAGAATTTATGCAGTTCCATTTTGTTAAAGAATTTTACTGATAATATCTGTGCAGATGCCACTCTTACAAAGAAACTTGTCAGCAACAAATAGACATTTATTTTACTGATAAGAAAAAGCAGTTTATGTATTTACATGGAAGAGAAAGGACTTTTTATGGTGTTAGTCACCATTTGCAAACCTCAATATGACACAGTCTCTTAGTTGGGAATATATCTAGTAGATAATTTGTAAAGTTAAAACTGCCTTATATTATATTTATCTAACTCCCTGAGAAAGAGCAACAGTGTGTTTAAACTACACTGATTATCTTTATTTTCAATGCATAAACAGTTGTTTTTCTGTGACACATAAGTTGTGAGTTTCACTTTACTTTTACATTTGCTTGTATTCTAGATATGGAAATCACCCAGCTTTTTACAGGTACAAGACAAAGACGGGGAATGTTCTTCCTATGTTTTATATCTATGATTCCTACATAACAAAGCCTGAAAAATGGGCCAATCTGCTAACCACCTCAGGGCTTCATAGTGTTCGCAATTCTCCTTATGATGGATTGTTTATTGCACTTCTAGTAGAAGAAAAACATAAGTATGATATTCTTCAAAGCGGTTTTGATGGAATTTACACATATTTTGCAACAAATGGCTTTACTTATGGCTCATCACATCAGAATTGGGCTAACCTAAAATTATTTTGTGACAAATACAACTTACTATTTATCCCAAGTGTTGGTCCAGGATACATAGATACCAGCGTTCGTCCATGGAACACTCAAAACACTCGGAACCGAATCAATGGGAAGTATTACGAAGTTGCTCTGAGTGCTGCACTTCAGACCCACCCTAGTTTAATTTCTATCACCTCTTTTAATGAGTGGCATGAAGGAACTCAGATTGAAAAAGCTGTTCCCAAAAGAACCAGTAACACAGTGTATCTAGATTATCGGCCTCATAAACCAAGTCTTTATCTAGAACTAACTCGCAAGTGGTCTGGAAAGTACAGTAAGGAAAGAACAACTTATACATCAGAGCCTGTTTCTTAATATGCTGACTGGAGTTTAATAGTTACTGAAGTCATCAAATTTCAATAAATGCCTTCTGTTTTGAGTATGGAGAAAAAAAACCTGTTATCTTCAATGAACTTTTTTTACTTTTTTAAAGATAATGCTATGATTGCTACACCTCACAATATTGTGCTGAGAAAATGTCTGAGAGAGAAGTTATAAATAACAATCGTTATGACATAATTTTCAGCCTTTTGACTGAAATTGAAATTCTCATTTGATGGCAGTTTTCATTTCACAGGAGATAAAATACTTACATTTCATAACATAGCACGCACACAATTAATTTCTACTTATATCCTGGGCCCAAAGAAATAGGACTGTTTGTGTATTTGGTATGTCTACTGAAGAAAAAAAGACATAAAATACTGTGTATATGTCTCATTTCTAAGTGTTTTCAGTGATTAAGTCAACTTTACTGTGTTAGTATTGAAAGTCTGGATAATCTTCCTCTACTGATCAAATTCTTAAGAGTAATATATTCACTTCTTCCCAGTTTTGCTGTGAACCTTCAACTGCTTTAAATAACTGTCTACTCATTTTATTAAATTACACACCTTACTCCTGACTGTAAACCACGTTGTGCTAGGCAAGCCTGCTTCCTGCAGAGCAGCATTCCTGTCACCTGGAGACCGCTGGCATTGCTGGGGCATTCAAGTGTTTTGCATGCCTGATATTTTTTTCTACTATACTCAGCTCCAGACTTTAGAAACTGTGGAGAGTACATTAGTGAAAGTTGATGATTGCTTCTCAATTATTAGGAAAAGTTCTTTCATAATTATCATGAAAATACAATGCCCTAAGTGTTACCATTTTAAGGATACCTTGTCAATGCTGTTATTATTCTGTTATTCATATCTTATAATGTTAATCAAAGACTTAACTAAGAAAGTAAAAAGGTAACACTATCATTGGATTGTCTTAATATGTTAAGTGATTTTTACCACAAGTAATAGATAAAATTTACTACTTCATATGGGAAACCAAAATTCTTTATAAAAGCAAATTCTGAAGAAGACAATACTTTACATGGGGTCATGTCCCCATCTGGAAATGTTATACTTTTATGAATCTATCAGGTTAGAATGTTTGTAACAAATAGCTATTCTATTGTGAAAGATTGATTACTTTTATGCTAAAAATGAATTTCTTTACCTTAAAACTAAAGAAAAAATAAAATATACTCATTACTATAGTTAATATTTGTAACTGTAGCTGTAGTAAAAGTTTACATCATTTAAAATAGATGTAATCCCTTTCTTAGATATTTAATTCTATAAAAAGAAGCAGGAGAGTAATGCTAGCAAAATATGCATATAAATCTTTAGAACAAAAAAAAATTCAGAAATAAATTAGCAATGGAATTTAGCATAAAATAGCCAAACAGGTGAAAAAAAATTTCAGACAGTTTTTGTTTTTTGAAATAAGATATGTTTTTGGAAAGATGCATCATTAATATTAAACTTATTTATAACTTCAAAATTTGCTATTTCTCAGAGAATGACTGTTGTGGGAAATTATAACAAAGTAACGATCTGCTTATTTTCTGGGGGGAAATTATGAGAATAAATCACTGTAATTTATTTTGGCATAAATAAACATATCATAGGTTTAAACATATAATATAACCTGTGGATTTTTTCTTATACCTAGTTTTGCCACTATGTGTTATTTAAATAAATTATTAGTATGTCATACCTAATAACCTTTTGTAGCATATTGTATTTCATGGAGTTTTTGGAGAAATATCTACTAAAGAAGAATTTTCTTAATTTCTTTATTATGTTGTATATTTGAATCCACCATGACTGAAAATGAATCTTATGAAATAGTTGTAAGATTAAGGGAAAGCATGTAAGTCAAGGTCAGCAGATTCTCAGCAGGACTACCACCACTTTCTGTCTTGTTCTCTTTGCAGACATAGATAATCCACGTCACCTCTGCTAACATACCCCAGCCCATCCCCAACCCCTCAGTGTTAGTCATTCAGGTCTCAAAGTACAATAAAACAGGCTCAGTCTTTATTAGAAAAAAAGTTGTTCTCAAAGCAGAAATGGTTAGAATTACTTATCTGAGTATCTGATTCTTTGCTCCTTTTTGAAAATTATTGCAGCCAGGTCTCTGTATCCATTGTTTTCATAGCCACACCTTCAACCAAATCTGGTTAGAAAATATTCAGGAAAAACAACTGCATTTCTTGTGGACATATACAGACTTTTTGCACTATTCCCTAAACAATACAGTATAAAAACTATTCATAAAACATTTACATTGTATTAAATATTATATATAATCTGGAAATGATTTAAAGTCTATAGGAGAATTGCTTACAATATATGCAAGTAGTAAATCGCTTTGTGTAAGGGACCTAAGCATTTGCAGCAAATTGTTTTATCTAGTGGGGGTCCTGTAACCAATCCCCTGTGGATATCCAGGGGTGACTATATTAGCAATTATCTCTAATAATTTTGTTAGTTCTTAAAAGAGGAATGTTTTCAACTCTTGTTCATGTTTTCATTACAGCTGCCTTTACCATTTGACTTATAATACAATTTAGATAAAGATCACAAGTAAAAAAAGTGCAGAGAATCAGTTTTTTTTATTTATAAGTGTGTATGTTTGAATTCAATAAGCTAAAATAACTTACAACACAAAGGGGTATGATTTATGCAATGCATGAATAATAGCGGTTCTTTTATACATTATTTTCTATGGTTTAGTCACTAATGGTTTTGATTGTATATAGAACAAATCATTACTGCTTCTTTTAAGGACTACTATTGACTAAGACTGCTGTTATGTCTATCTGAGTTATATATTAGCTCTTTTGTTTTACTTTAAGACTGTACTTTGGAAAATGACTATTTTATATGGAATTAATTTTCAGCTAATAAATATTGTATATTAGATATCAAAACCTATTTATGATGTTATATTTAATTTCTTGTTAACAAATGAACAGTAATATATAGTCCACATTCTTAATTTGGGAGATGTTTTCCCTTTTTTCTGCTTCAGGTATAATAATCATATATTAGCTCTGATATCTGTTAGAAAACTAATAAAAAAACAGCAAATTAAAAACTACCCCTTGAGCCTACCCAATTCATAACCATGAGTTAGGAAACACAAGTTTTTAAATTTAATCATAATGGCTCCTCCTAAACTCCTTAATAACTATAGAAATAGCCACATATATTCATATATATGCATACATACATATATATTTATATATATATGTGTATATATATATATATATATAAATTTCATAGATATTTTAAATCAGGTGTTTCTTGATATTTTTCTTTTTTTTGTGTGTGTGAGATGGGTTTGGACTCAGGGCTTCATACTTACAAAGCAGGCATTCTATCACTTGAGCCACACCTCCAGTACATTTTGCTCATGTTATTCTGAATATGAGGTCTCACAAAGTATTTCCCAGGCTGGCCTGGACCCATGATCCTCCCAATCTCAGTGACTCACGTAGCTAGAATTACAGGCTTGAGCCACCAGTGCCAGGCTCTCTTGATTTCTTTTTCATATAATTCACTATTAGCACAAGAAACACTATTGATTTTTGTACATTATATTGTGTCCCGCAAATTTGCTGAATTTATTTTGCTAATTTTGCTAGAATATTTGAGATTTTCTGTATATTAAATGTCATCTTCGTACAATGACACTTTAACTTCCTCCCTTCCAATTCAGATGTCCTTTATTTTCTTTCTCTTTCCTGATTTCTCTGGCTAAGCCTTCCAGTATTATCTTGAATAAAAGTAGGATAGGTAGGAAATTGTGAATTATAGTGAAACACTCTTAAATGCCATCATGTGGAAAAGCAAAATTTTACTGAGACCAGCAATGTTTCAGTCATTCATATGAGCATTTACCATTGCAAAATGAAAAAGTTGACCTAGCCACAAAACAAGGAATTTTATGGCACAGAGTTCCTTTTGTTAAAAAATGTACTCCAAATTAAATTTAATACTACTTTGTTATACAATCATGTAAAGGCTAAATGTTATTGTGAGTTTGTTGTAATATTTTATCTTGAAAAATTCAAGTACTATTTTGACTTAACTGCATTACAGAGGCATTCATCTTTAGTAAAATAAAAAGACTTGAGTGTTAGTGATGTTCTATTCCAACTATCAATAAAGGGAAGAACAGTTTCTTCAATATAGTCAGCTCTTTGTTGCTATGTAATTACTATTTAAGTTATAGTATCAAAAGATAAAATGAGGATTAATAAACAGTCTATACTGAAAACTCATTTTAATAGTGAATATTTTAAATTTTATTTCAAAGAATTTTACATATTGAATTTCAAGTTACACAAATTACATAAAATTAAATATAAATTTAACTATAAAGTTTAAAAGCCTCTAGAAATTTATCTTTGAAATAAATCTTGCATGAAACGAAACGATGCATCGTGGTACTATAATTGTGCATATAATTCCATGTATGGCACATGATCACAGCATCATGCTTTATGTTTGTTGCTTTTGAAAAGAATAGATTAAAAATTGGAACAAGTGTAATCAACACAAAGTAGGAATCATTAGGCCCTTAGCCATGTTGAATAAAACACACTTTATGCCCAAATTGAATCACTTTTATCAAAATCTCTATCAAGCTGGCGGAGTGGTTCAAATGGTAAGAGCACCTGCTGGACAAGTGTGAGGCTCTAATTTCAAACTCCAGAGCTGCCAAAAAAATACAAAAAATCTGCATTAAACATTACATTAATATTTAATTAGATGATAGGGTCTTATGTAAAATGTGCTATCTTTGCCCTAATCTTAAAAATATCAAACGAAGAAAGCTATTTAGAAGAAATTTAGTGGAAATAAATAACACAGTAAATGTTTACACATTTATATTTGAGTACAGTCACCTAAAACAATAGCATGGTACCAGTTGTTAAAAACAGGCAGCAGAGAAGATGTTTTCTTTTTTCCTTCCAATGAAATACTACGCCCCCATTAGGAATTAAAAAATAAATGAACTAAAATACTTGTAAAACTGCAAAATTAGTGAAATAAGTGTGTCCTCATAATTTTTAACCCAATGGAATTGTGGTCAATAGTCATGTCTACCTTTCATAAATGGAAACATCGCTTCATTAAGTATCATTGTGCTTACATTAATACATGTCTTTCTAGAGAAAAATCTTATTAAAATATAATTTTCTTTGTAAAAGTAATTATTTTTAAGGTCAGCAAATCAGAGCACAATTTCAAGAAGCAGCAATATGTTCCATTTTCATATATGTAAAAACAAATTAGTGTAAATGGTTAAAGTGCTATTTTAGTTATTTGTTTCTGAGATATAAGTATCTCAGAAATGCAGAAGATAAAAAAAATTACCGAAAGATGCAGAAGATAAAAAATTTTACAAACTCAAACTTTTTTTTACAAAAAAATTTTTCAACCATTCAATGTTGAAATTCAAAGTTGAAATAGCATATTTTATTTAAAATTAGTTGATATTAAGAATTCATATGACATAGTATAGAAAAATTTTAAAAGATTCCTCATGAAGCTGGCCTAATATAATGCCAAAATAAAATTATAGGACAATATAGCTCATGAAAATAGATGAAAAAATCTTGATCATAATATTAGCAAATTGCATGCCACAGTATAAAGAAAGGCTATCATGATCAAAGTTTAATTTAATCTCTGTTTAAAGAGTGTATTAACATTAGCAAAGCAACTACATTAACAGGCTAATGATAAAATTTTATGGAAAAGAGTTAATAAATTCAAATATTTGTACATTTACTCTTGCCAAATTAGAAAGAGGATGAATTTCTCTAATCTGAAGATGAATATCACAAGCCCTAAAAAAAATAAGTAATGATGAAACAAAAAAATTCCCTTTAAAATAGGAAACAAAGCAAGCCTACCGATTATTAAAATTCTACCCGATATTTTATTGGAAGTACTCACCATTGCAGTAAAAGAAGAATGAGTGAAATATAAATATTCTACCTTAGTTCCCTTCTTGTGGTGATTTCAAAGGTTTAAAAATTCTATATAGGGCATGAACCAATTCAAGTTATAAGATTTTATATAGCTATATATGGAAATTATGTATATATATATATATATATATATATATATATATATATATATGGAAATGTCACAAGGAAACTCCCTGTGGAGATAATCTTAAACAAACCAAAATAACTTTTTTCAAAAACGGAGAATAGGAAGGTAAAACAGGTCCTGTCTGGAGGTTGATACCAGTGGGAGAGAAGAAGATATAAGGAAAAGGTGAAGGAGTCTGAATCTAGTGGAAATATTATGTACTCATGTATGTAAATGGAAAAATTAGACATGTTGAAACTATTCCAGGAATTGGGCAAGAGAGGGAATAAAGGAGAATAATGGAAGGGGTGAATTCAGCTATGATATATTGTAAGAAGTTCAGTAAATGTCACAATGTACCCCCAGGACATCAATAATATAATTTTTTAAAAGAAAATGGATAAATACTTCTTTTATGTATTAAAATCTGAAATAAGCCACAGAAAATCAGATTATTTGGCAAAGGTTTGCAAAAATTGGTTGCAAAAGTTTCATACAGTTCCTTATGAAGTAAAAAATGAAAAGGAAGATGAAATCAAAACTTCCTTCTTGCACATCTTAAATTTCTATTTATTGTATATAGCTCTTCTACGTTGTTTTTAAATCTTCAGACTTACAATAATCATGTGGCAGAAAATTAAGCCACTGATATTAAAATGGGACAGCCTACGCTTTCTATAAAATGTCAACTGCAAATCTGCTTGCCAAATTTGTACTTGAAAATTTGCTTTGCCCCCATGTTTACTGCAGCATTATTCACAATAGTTAAGCTATGGAAACAGCCAAAAAGCCCCATTACTGATGAATGGATAATGAAAACTTGGTATTTATATACAATGAAATTGTATTCAGCCACAAAAATAATGAAATTGTGTTGTTTGCAGATAAATAGATGGAACTGGAGAACATCATCTTAAGTGAAGTTAGCCAGGTTCAGAAGGCCAAAAATCACGTTTTCTCTCATCTGTGGAATATAGACCTAATGCAAATAGAGCAGATTATGAAAAACAGGTCTCGCTAAGGAAAGGTCACATATGAGAGAGGGAAGGTAAATGAAAGAAGTTAAGAAGGGAATATGGTTGATGTACTGTCTATACAAGAATGAATATAGAATTTTTAAGCCTGTTTACACCACCATAAGAAGGGGACTAAGGTAGAAAGAAGGAAAATAAAGGAGATAAAACAATTCAAGATTTTTTTTTAATTTTTATTTTATTCATATGTGCATACAATGTTTGGGTCATTTCTTCCCCCCCCTTCCTTCCACCCCCTCCCTTATACCCCCTCCCGCTCCCTCCCTTACTCCCCTTACCCCTCCCTACCAGGCAGAAACTATTCTGCCCTTATCTCTAATTTTGTTGAAGAGAGAGTATAAGCAATAATAGGAAGGACCAAGGGTTTTTGCTAGTTGAGATAAGACTAGCTATACAGGTAGTTGAACCAATTTGAGTTTTAATACATACATATGCATGCAAATGTCACAAGGATACTCTCTGTATAGCTATCTTAAACAAACAAAAATTTTTTTTCTTTTACAAAATCAGAGAACAGGAGTGCAGAACAAGTCTTTCCTGGAGGCGTGGGGGGTGGGTGGTACTAGTGGGAGGAGGAGGAGGTATGGAAAGGGTATAGGAAGGTGAATATAGTGCGAATACTGTGTACACATATATGTAAATGGTAAATATTACACC